ATTTTGTTGTCTATTAGATGTATATATGTAGTCGTTTAATAGCGGTCTAATTGATGACTAGTCTATAAATGGGCTATGATTAGACGTCTATTAGATTTTCACTGACAGCCCAAATTTAGCCTCGTTTTAGCCTAGACGTCTAGGCTATATTTAGACGTCTAATAGACGTCTTTTAAACGCAAAACTGCTTGCTGGGCTATTAGGCTACTGATTAGAAAATTAAGGAATGTGCATTATGCATTTCACTAATAAAGAAAAATGAAAATTCTGGTATAGCTATTAGGCCTACTCACATTCATGACTGACTTTCTTTAGCGACACACAAAAAAATATATTTTGGAAGAATATTTTGGACCCCATTGACTTGTAAGTTCTTCAACATTATTTTGTGTTGTTGTGCGAAAGAAATTCATACCGGTTTGGAACGACAAGAGGGTGAGTATCTATTCTAAATGTTGACAAATTTTCTTTTTTTTTTCTTTTTTGTCTCTTCAATGTTACAATTGCTACTGGTTTTAGTATGGTGTTGAAATTGAAGCAGATAATTTACCTTGGAGTTTCACACCAGGCTTTGTTTACAAGGAAGACAACGAAGACGAGAAAGAGGAACACGGCAACGGCGATTATTCCCGTAAACCAGTTTGGCAGAGCTTGCTCTGCTTTCTCTGAAAGAGACACGTGCCATAAATACAAGAACTGTACGTTAAAATACCTAAAACCAGAGGCGTCATGCCCATTCAAAGTGAGGGGGGCACGTGCCCCCTCAGATTTCTGAGCCAAGAAATCTTGGATGGATTTTAAAGGGGTCATATGATGCAATTTCATTTTTTCCTTTCTCTTTGGAGTGTTACAAGCTCTTGGTGCATAAAGAAGATCTGTAAAGTTGCAAAGACTAAAGTCTCAAATCCAAAGAGATATTCTTTATAAAAGTTAAGAGTCAGCCACACCTACCTAAAACGGCTCGTTCGAACACGCCCCCACATATCTACCTCACTATGTGGGAAGATTTGCATAACGCCGCCCAAATATTCACGCAAAGAAAGAAGGCGTAACTTATTGTTGTTGCCGCTGCCGCCATGTCCCGAAGACGCTGTGTGTTTCGTTGTGAAAGCGAAACTACTTTGTTTGAACAGTATGGTGAGGGGCGTAACATTTCCGTCTCACGCTTGAGGTATTCGGCCAATCACAACGCATTGGATAGCTGGCCAATCAGAGCACACCTCGCTTTTTCAGACCGATGAGCTTTGTAAAAATCGACGCGTTTCAGAAGGCGGGGCATACAGGAGAAACAATAATGTACAGTATGTGGAAAATAATGTGTTTTTTTTACTTTAAAACGCATAAACACATTTCATTACACCAAATACACAAAATAATGTTCTTTTTAGCAGCATCATATGACCCCTTTAAATGCAGCTTCCAAAAGACAAAAAAATAGCCGAATAATATTTTTTTATATTTGATACAATCACACCGGTGTGATTAGAACGCTCAGTGCTGCACATCACCAGCTGCTAAATTCAAATCTGTGTTCGCGCTTTGACTGGCGTAGACGCGTTTGTACAGCGCTGCATTATAACCAATCACACACGATTCTGCTGAGCTTATGAATGCAATGGCCAATCAGATACGTTCAGATGAGTCATCGCTGAAACGCGGTGTTTTGTTCACTTGCTCGCTGACTGAATTATAAACAACAAAGTGCATATGTGCGTAAGAATGTAAGTAAGATATTCATTTCACAGTGTAAATTGCTTCAGTGATTTAAATGGGAGTTTTT